CCCCCCCCCCTTTAATTTAGTAATTCCTTATTTATTCTTAATTGTTATCGATGATAGGTTTTGTGCTAGTAAAACTTTGCGAGGCTCAGTTTAACATTGTTAAGGTGTTCAAATGGAATGATTTTTATAATGTTTGAGTGTAGTTTAATATTTCTTATTTTCTTCTTAAAAGTCTCAGGTGGGGAAACTTCCCTGGGTTTGGTCTGAATTTGGACACATGTAAATTAAATAATTTCTTTTATTATTTGTTTATTTCAATAGTTTACCTATTTATCTTAAGATATTTTTTGAGAGGTCTCAGGCTGGTGAAATCTTAGAAAGTATAGTCTGCAATTTGTTAGTTCAATAAAGTAAATTATATTTTAGGTATTATTTTTATTTTGCGTTGATAATACAGATATATAAGAGAGTTTTTTATTAGATAGATCTTTGTTGTAAGTTATGATGAAGGGGGTGATCCAGTTGCTTTTTTTTTATTTTTTCATTTTGGAAATATCTTTAGAGCCATAGGCCTACAGGGGAAGGAGGGCTCTTAAAATTTATTCTCCTAACGAGTGTGATGCCGCACCGCAAGGTCACTGGGAAGACGGCATGGGATGCTGAGGAGAAGCCATTTTTGCTTTTGTAGCCAACTACACTTGTACATAAGTAGACCAGAAAAAACAGCCAAAAGTAACTGATCATAATTTACATGTTTTCTAATCCAAGTTGGATTAAATCTCCCTTTAAAGAAAGGGAAGGGTCTTCACTATGGTTCAGAAAAACATTCCCATTTATGTGGTTATAGAAAATGCTTCTCATCTGCTCTGTAATAAAAAGAAATCATGTTTTTAATTTTAAAAAAAGTATCATTGCACTCTGGAATTAAATTAATGAATGAGGAAATTTTACTATACAGTTCAATAATATAATACTTGTACGTTTCTTAGAAGGAGATGAAGGAGATCGGCAGAAATGTAGGAAAATACAATTTATTTTCATTTATTATTTATTTAATATCTTTGCCAAGAAGCCTATTCCCAGCCCAACCAATAGCAGAACTTGGAAAAGAATCCGTTCATTGAGACAAGGAAATGTTGCCAGGGGTAAGGGATTTCGGTGTCAGCAACGCGCGCTGCGTAAGGAGCAAGCACGAATGTCGCTGTCGATCTGTCACCAGCCCTCGAGCAGAAGCTACCGCGTGGGGAAGGTGCTGGTGCGGCAATTGCGGGTTTTCTACAGAATTTGTTTGTTTTTCTACAGAATGCAGAGTTGGGCTAGGAAGATTCGCACTTCTTTTTTTATTAGCGAATCGCCTCGCTGGATGGTGAAATTCGGCGCTGTCCTACAGTCGGCTAATGGAATTTCCCGCTACTGGTATGTCCCATTTGCAGGGCATCATCCCTGTCGATACGAACTCTAAGCTCCCGACCGGTCTTCCAACATGCGTGTTAGTATAGTGTGTGTAAGTAAAGAGTAAAGAAGGGAAAGAAACGATTGCGCGCTCAGTGGCCCGTTTGTTAGGATACTGCTCCGGCATTCGTCTGGCATAGATCGGAGAAACCACGGAAAAATACCAATCAGAAAAGGCCACTAGAATTCTCCTTCAGTGAGCGGCTGAAATCGACTTAGTTGTCTAGCTAATGTCGAAAAATCCTTCGGATTCCTATGGCGCAGCGGACGGAAGCTCCTTTGCGATCACCGGGCAGGACGCGCGTCGCCTTATCATCGTGGATCCTGGCCACTCATCCATTTCCGGTAACCTCACGGCACCGTGTGCGACAGCACGCAACACGGGAATTCCGGTTACTTGCTAGCGCGGATGCGTCCAAGCGTCCGCGGCAGTGTAAAAACATCACCTGAATCGTATAGAATTGTGAGTGGTATGTCATTACCGCCGAAGTTGTGGCATGGACGCCAACAGTTGGCGTAGGGTGTCTGGTGGTTGCAGCTCGCCTGTTCATTCGTCCGGTTTCTTTGTTCAGGTAACTAATAACAAACAAGTGCTTACAAACATGTCTGTTGACAAGAGTCGGTTGTAGTCTTGAGACATACGCATTACAAAGAGAAACCAAACTTTTCTTCTTCTTCTTCTTCTTCTTCTTCTTCTTCTTCTTCTTCTTCTTCTTCTTATTATTATTATTATTATTATTATTATTATTATTATTATTATTATTGATGTTGTTAAACAGCTGGGAAAGTCGTGCGGTGTGGTTGATACAGCGCGTTCATAACTTAAGCAGTGTCTAGAAGAGATGTTCAACTCTCCAGTGTATTGATTAACTGAAATGATTAACCATTTATTGCAATGTTTAATAATAATTGATATATGTGTAGACCCGATCCTGAGAACGCAAAGACAACTAACGTACTTAGGCGCGCGCAGCTTAAAAAAGGGGGCCCACTGCATTTCTCATCCCCTTTTCTATTAAACTTTTGCTTATATATGACATTTACTAGTGAATAAATAAAACCTGCTACTAGGAAAATGCAATTATAACTATAATTATCAAATTAATCGATGCAATTGAATATATCTAAAACCATTTACAGGGCCAGAGGCTTGGAGAGCCACTTCTTCAAATTGTCAGACTACCAAGAGGAACATAAAGAATTAAACATATATATATATATATATATATATATATATATATATATATATATATTGAGTTATAGCTTGACAACTTAGATAAAAAACATCATGGCGTAACTTCGTTCTCACACTTCAACACTAGGGTTTGGGACATTCAAGGCTAGGCTATCTTCTCCTCTCTCGCCCAGGTCGAGGTGGCGGCGGCGGCTCCTCAGACGTAGAAGAGCCTCTAAGAGAGAGAACGTTTCCCTCTGCCACCGACCGAGAGATAGACGCGGAGAGACAGAGATTGAGAGAGCCACACGATAAATATTCAGAGAGACGGAGACAGTAAAGGACAGAGATAGACTGAGAGAGACGGTGTGTGTGTGTGTGTGTGTGTGTGTGTGTGAGAGAGAGAGAGAGAGAGAGAGAGAGAGAGAGAGAGAGACGTATGACAGCAATGCGCGTAAGAGGGGGGGGGGAGAGACGGAGGACAGCGACGCGTGCAAAAGAGAGACAGACACAGGGAGAAATAGAAAGACAGAGAGAGACAGACTGACCAAGAGAGAGAGGGGCATACACATATAGAAAGAAAACGGAGGGACAGAGATTGAAGCAGAGAGAGAAATATACAGAGAGACCCACGGAGACGTTTTTTCGCAGGGATTGGAAATAAAAAAAGCAATGCCGGGTGTTTTGCTAGGTATATCTGGTGATGTCGGAGCTTTCGCAGAAGCTGTGAACATACCAGCACAACGCTCTCGATGGCTCGTTGGTTAGCGTGCTCGTTTTCCACGGCGCAACCCCGGGTTTGACGGTCGGTTTCTTCTCGGGTTGAAAAGACGAGAATACAGCGCAAAGATGGCTATGTGCTCACCACACGTACCCCTTAATCCATAGCCGCAAGGCCGGGACGCTGCTGGTAGGTCAGCTTGTAAAGAGCTGTTGTGCCAAAGTAAAATACCAGCAAAACCAACACTCTTCAGAATTGCAACTAGAGAAGATTTAACAGAAGAGATAGCGGGTGTTTTGTGCATGAATCGGAAGTATCGCATCTCTGTAAATACGATTCTCGCTCGGATTACGTGTCTTTCTTCTTTGCAGTGTTTATTCTTTTGTAAGATCGTGACACCATACATACCTTGTAACGATCGAAAAGTCTACGCACCCCATGGTCTGTTTATTACAATAATAAAATTTGTTATTGTTTACCTGATGGTCAATTTTATCAATATAGGCTAACATGAATATCTTGTTTGCTGGTCAGCGTTTTGCTAATGACATAATAACAAGATTTTACTAATTCATAATCATGGAGAAAACAATAGAAAATTCTTTCAAAACCAGACCATATGCAGGGTGATTCAGTCCTCGTTGCTAATACGCGGGGACCTAATCCCACATGTAATGTACAGACTAAATTTACCGAAATGGATACTCTTCGTCGTTTAATTTTGAAAAACAAAAAAATAATGTTCAACTTCGGACCACGCGCTTGTGCTCACGGGCTACGGCAAGTCAGCAAGCGACTTCACCTCGCGTTAGGGCACGCTTATACTATCCAAGATGTCCCGGAAGTGTGCACAAGGCAAATAGCGCGCGAAGTCAAGCTATCACAGTGCCCCGTATGGAGAACAATTCATACGGAGAAATTACTTTTCCATTTCCAGCGGACGGCAAATCGGACACTTGGTTACTTCAGTCACTGGAACTTAGTATCATTCTGAAATTGGGAGTAATTATGCATTGCGTTCGAGTCCAGGTGTCCTGTACAGGAACGTCGAAAAAGGAAACAGCTAGGAAATTCGGATCGTTCAGGTGATGGTTAAGGAAAGTTACAATAATCAAATACTTTACACGTGATAGGTTCGAAATTCGAATTTTTTATAGGGTATGACAGTTTCATCCGTATTGGTCTTCATCTTTAATTTTTTTCTACAATTCTTTATTTGCTTATCCATTACAGCTGCGTAAAACTGCATATTAACGATTTATTCTCTAGTGAAATAAAAAAAAAATTACTGTTGGAAATTTTAATTTATTGCTAATGTAAGATAGGACGAAGTGTGACATTGTGTTTCAAACCCGCAGCGGGATAAGAGCCATGGCCTCGGACTTTTATACGTGGAAACGTCCGAAGCGGGTTCTCAGTTTCGCGATGGTACGTCGCGTGCGTGAGTGGCTGCAGTGAGATGACGGGTTGGAACTCCATGCTTCCTGGATTACCCCAACATCTTGATAACTGATTAAAAAATCATTTGCAGAAAATAAAAAAAAGTAATTTACGAAAGCAAATGTTGTTTGATTAGTTATAATAGGCGCAGACTCTGCCGATAGAAATCCTAATAGCAACATGCTGCCTCATCCTACTCGCAAAATCCCCACTCTTTCTCACGCACCCTTGCCTAGGATGCACCAGACACGGACGTCAGAGAGTCACGATAGTCCGCGATATGACTCATAGTCAATTTTTTATCATTCGCTTAAGCGGGACACATGACATTAGATTCGTCCTCAAATCTTGCGTTGGTAGTATGCTCAAATTAAACGAATGTACATTACATATATTCGCTGACATTTCACAAGATTGGCTTTTCGGGAAGACCGCCGCCTTGAAGCCCTTAAACCAGCCGCCACTGCTGTGTGCCAGGGCAACGCATTGTCAGGGCATTTATATGTGCGACAATAACTTAACACTAATCCCGCCCGCGTTCCATTATAACAGTTTATACCCTGCTTGGCATTACTCCGCACATCTTGACTTTGCCAAGAGGATTTTACTCCCCAAGGTGGACACATAGGCGTTGGTTTTTATCCCCCCCCCCGCGAGCGCCTAAGTCCACCTTTGGGGTGGCATCCGGATGCGTCGGAACACAGTACCCCAATGGGGCGCCTCCCCACTTAGTCTGGGTGGGACCACTGTGCCAGCTCAGAGCTATTATCTGTCCGGGCTAGCATCGGCGTCTAATTAAGCTTCACTCACAATACACCGGTACGAATCCCTACTCAATTGTCCATGAGTGTCGGGCACTGCCACGTCGAAGCCGAGTACCCACCTGGGGGTCGTCCAGGCCGAAGCCCGAGTGGCTCGGTGCCCCTTGCCCACCTTGACTCTTATCCTTGGCCATCGACGCGAGTACAGCCGGAGTCTAGGCAACCTGACGGGAGATTCGTGTTCCCTATCGGACTATTATGTGTGGGTTTGGGAGCAAGTCCCGCGCTCAATCTTGCTCAAAAGTCGGCGGGGAGGGGCCCACCTGGTGGGTTACCGGGCGAACCCGGCAACAAGTAGCTTAGCACCGCCTCCTTACTGCACCCAAACGACGTGAGCACCGCTGCGGAACTCAGGTCCGGGTGGACGTTTCCGTCTCCACCAAGAGCGTCGAGTCTTTTGGCCGGCTCCCCCCCCCTTGCGGGGTCCGTTAGGTCATATACGTTTTTATTATTTTGTAAAGCTTACATGACTAGCAATCGCACGGCTAGAGCTGGTCCCCAGGCTCAAGCCCCTTTTTCAACTCTTTGGGTCATTTGAAAATTGCTAATTGAATTAACTCAACATTAAAAATTCACAAAAGAAAAGTACGTGACATATTATTCTCCAAGAAAAATTGGATGAACACAAGAGCACCATAAGCACCATGCATGTCTTTACGAGAATATATCACTTCCAATTCTGTTCTAAGTTTTGGTCCATTAACTTTTGTGTATTGTCTCATAGTTGTTTGAAACTTACTTTCTGGCAATTTCACAATATTGTGGCGAATATTGTGGACATTTTTCGGTTAGAAATAATTTCGCTACTCTTAGATAATCTGAGAAATCGAATCTCTCTTAGGTATTGTTCACAATAATATCACATATTTCAAGAGCGGCGACACGATCATTTCTGCCATCTCTGAGATCAACACTTGGTCTCTTTATTCATGGGTTCATTTAAAGAATCTTGATCGTCTTCATACATTACACGAATCAGAAAAGTAGTCGATGAATGTTCTGATTTTTACAGCATCGATGTTTCTTTGGTGAACAGAATCAAAAGTAAGTAAGCCAAGTATGTAGAAAGTAAGCCAAAATACAAAACCTGTATCTTTCAAGGTACGTACAAATCCTGCATCTTGCCCACTAGCTTTAAAATCCTCCTGTCCGTTGTCTCGAATATATTCAAAACATTTCAGGACGCCATCTCTAGTTTTCTTAATTTTTAATATATGTAGCTCCTCCGTAATCTTGTCATCTAAACCCTTCGCACCTTTCTCAATCACTTGCAAAATCCCCAGAACCGCTCATGAATGTTACCTTCTAACTGATATCTTAAAATTAAAGACATTTGAAGTATCTGTTATTTCATCAGCTTGTATAGAGACGTATTCTCCATTATTTATTTCATGTGCAATACATTTTTGGAAAATTTTGAAAATTGCATCCAGCATATCGTTTTGAATTGTCTTTGAAAATTTTTAAAATGATTTTGCATTTTCCAAATGAGTTAAGCCCTTGAAGATGTCTGGGTTATTCGATTCTTCACTTTCGTCATGACCACGCAAAGCTAATTCAAACTCACTGCAAAATTTTATTGTATCAATTATGCTACTTAAAAGGTACCTATTTGAGTCTACAAGTTCATTATGTTTGCGTATAGAAATGCTATATGCGTCATCCAATTGCTAATTAATACTAATTTTCCCCAGAACCTTTAAGTTCATTTCATTATTTAGGTGGGTTTTCGAGAAAGCATGTTTGTTACATTTATCAGATAAATGCTTGATATCTTTAATGCCCCTCTAAGTCTACGTTTCACCTCGCCCCGATCAGAAGACAAGGGAAACAAAAACAAAACAAAAAAAATGTATTTCTCTCCTGGCATCCGCAAATCCACTTCCATTTCTCCAACACTGATCTATTAAATTTTCTACTATGCGTCCTAATTTTATCACTACACTTGATTGATGCACAAGTATGGTTTAGGTGGCCCTAATTCTTTTGTTAAAAATTTGTCTTCATAATTTAAGGTTCTGATTGTAAATACCTTGCTTCATTCACGTTGTTTGGCTTGACATTTACAATTACACTTTACAAAAAACTGAATTGCTATGACGTAGAAGCACTTGAAAAAATAAAGTATTCTACCACATCTCTTGGGGCCGTACCGAATGGACGCGCTTGTCTGCGGCAGAACTGGCGGCGCGATCACACAGAATTTTTGACCTCTGCGCGCCATATGGTAGCACTACCCCTCGCAAATTCCGCTGTTCTACGAAGCCAGCCCCCGACAAACGGCGAGGAAGTCGGCGCGAGCTTCCCGTGACCAAAACCGTGATGCCATATCCCATACAGATGCCTCTACTGAATCTCGTTCATTTCCTCAGAGCAAAAATAAAAATAGCATATTCATCAAGTTGCAATAGTTTATATAGCATCATAAATAATTTAAAAATATTATTTACTTGGGGGGCACGTGGCCATATGGCCTTACGATAGAGCCGCCTGTGTTGGACATTTCTCTCTTCATATTGTATTTTGCAGCTGTTAGTTGCCCTAATAGGTCCAATGGTATCTTTCCTGGTCCATTAGGACACACTTATTTCTGATCGCACGCGTTCATCATGTCCCGTCCATTTGCTCTGTGCAGTGCGAGTGGCGCTTCGCATCCGGGGTGTCGCGAGGGGGGAAATGCTCGCACGTGAGGCGACGTGGGCGCTGGGGCTGCTGATGCCCTGCGCCGTCGCCCTGGCGACGGCTGCGGGGGCGACCCCACCGCCGCCCTGCAGCGCCGACACTCCAGAGCAGCCCTGCCTCCTCCAGAAGGCGTGCAATCGCACCGGCCCACGACGGGTGAGCCATTCAACTAGACTCCGGCACGGGGGCTTTATGCTATTCAGGGCCCGATTTAGCTGCAAGAAAAATTAGCAGTTGCTTAGGGGCCTCAAAGTAAAATTCATAAAATATTCCCAGACTGAGTTTAGCTCAGAGCCAGCATTGCCGCTGTCTCTGCAGCGACTTGGCTAGGAGATCCTAGAGTTCGAGTCCCGACGCTAGCTGAATAGCTAGGTCGAAATCAGCCACTGCCTGGCGAAGAATTCTAGCGACCGTTTGCTCCGATCGGTAGTTTTCAATGGTTTCGCTGATCAATAACAGGCGAATGTCGGAGCAATTCCTAACAAACGAGTCACGGACCGCGCGCGTTCTATCTTTCCTCTTCCTCCTATCCTCTCGCCTTACTTACGCACTCTTACATGTAATGCATTACCACTCTCTGAGACACGTCGTGAGCTTAGAGATTGCTCTGACTGAGACTGTGCCGCTATTGGTGGAGATACCTGGGGAAGAAAATCCCCCCGCAAGAAAACGACCTGAAAGTCGGCGCCGGATCTTACTATCCGCGAGGAAGAAACTCTTCCATCTCTCATTATAATACATCCACATTTTGGGGTCCCCTGACGCCGAGGAAGTGTTTTCATCTCAAAGGTTTGTCCGCCCATCCGTGAACAACACTTCCGCATAAACTATTTGTAGGTTTTTCAAAAATGATTATTTCCCGGTTGGTCTGGCCTGACTAAACTCTGTGATTTTGGTGAACATTCTTTAAATTTTGGAGGTACTATACGCGAAGACCCTGCGACATTTTCAAAATTTTCTCAAAATGGCTTCAATTTTTTTCTTTAAATTCCTCGTAAGAGTAAGGTGAAATACAATTATTAAGATGACATGGGTTCGATGTTCACGGTTACTCCGGGTATTTCAGGCATGATCAGAACTACTCGTGAGCTTGAAGAGGGAAAGGGGAATTACAAAGGTACAGAAGCAGCGCCTTCGGAGCAAGTTCTTGGGAAGGCGCTGGTTGAGGCAAGTAGTGAATGATTGTGTAACCATTACTCGTCTACCTTAACTTTGATATTGATATTTCCTGGCACGTCAACTGCCATTGTCATTAGTACCGTTAGTGTCGTGAATGTTTTATCAGTGTGTTCTATCGCTGGACGATGAATCTGGCGCCGATCTATACGTGAGGTTGCGGGGAATTTCTCCTCCAGGCGTAACCGCCGGCGGGGCTCTGTCCCAACAGGGACAAGCTCTACGCTACCCACTGGTTTCCCAACATGTAATGCCTCTAAGCGTATGAGTAAAGGGAGAAGATAGAGAAATGAAATAGACAGATAGCGCGCGCTCCGTGGCCTGGCTTCACCTGCATTGATTGGAGAAATCACGGTAAACTACCGATCAGAGCAGTCTACTCCAGGCATCTGCGAGTACATCTAATTTATTGACCATGCTATTTCAGGTGGAATGTCGGGCAAATGTAGTCGCACGAGCCAAAATGGAGAATTTGCACTCGTGGGAGTACGATTCCCCTCCGTTGGATATTCATGTTTTCATCACGGAAGCAACGCGAAGAGATCGTGCACATTTTATTGAAGCGATCGTGAAAATGGAAGCACTGCTCTCCTTTGAGCAAAAATCCACTTTCGCGCAATTTGGTAAGACTCTTCCAATGAGCGAAGAAGTTATTGATCTTCTAAATGATTTTCAACGCTGCGAAATGGCTCTTTCATCGTTTGTGAACAATGCCGGAGTGACCACAACAGCTGACAGTAGCGATCTTCTTCTCCATCCCAAAATTTTACGTTCGGCTGATTGGAGAATTAGTTTGTTAAAGGCGGAATGCCGCGATTCGGCTATTCCAAATTCTGCTTGGAATATCCTGGCCAAGAAATTCGATTTGATTCAACTAATTCTGCAAGGGTAAGGATGCAATACTGTAATGAATTAATAAATTTGTTTATTTAGTGCTTGTTTATATAATAATATTTGATATTATTACTTAGAAATCAAATCCAGGCAACCTAAAAAATCACTTCCATTAATATTTGTATGTCAATTTTTCTAACTTACATGAATAATGTACCAATCCTTTAAAATTTCGATGAAAAATTTGCCTGGTTATTTAAGTGATTTTATCCACATATTTCCAGATGTGGCAAACCTTTCCTATTGCAAGTCCAAAGGAGCTTCCATTGAGAAGACTCCCTTGGAGATAGGCTAATGAACTGTTATCAGAATTCAAAATCTCTCTGACCTTTCACTGAAAATAATTCTTTTAAATAGGTGCCACTTAAATTTCCATTTGGAGAAGCAACCTTATTTACAGAACTTGGAAATAACAAGTTGTAATTTACAGAATCTCCCCACAGGTAAGTTTCAATTTCATATTTTATTTAACATACCTCAGGGCAGATGCAAGGGGATACCTTAGAGTGGGAGAGGAGTCCCCTTCCCTTGAACCTAGAAATGTCTTTAATGTATATTGCCCTTCCACATTCTATTCCATGAATTATGTATTACATTAAGGGTTTGGATGTAAAATATGATAAAATATGGAAACACCTTGAGAAATAATACATAAGCAAAAGTTTTGGATTAAGGAAGTTAAAGCAATTTACATACAAATTACAAACAATTGACCAAATCAGAGTCAAATTTAAATATTTGAGTATTACACTGAATGAATAATGAATGGCCAGGAGCTAAAAACCACAGTATCTCAAGGACTACACTTCTGAGAGTCACCATATTTTTTGTCCAAGTCTTCGATATAATAAAATGTAATTACATTATACAGTGTTGTTTATATATTACAAAACATAATTTGCAATAAATGCAGATAAAACTTTTGTGTAAAAAAATTGTTGTGGATTCTCTTTTGGTAGTTCCTACATCAGCATCTCATATTCCTTTAATTTCTTCAAAGAAAAGGCAACTAATTAGGGAATCCTTTTTCCCATTTCAGATTTCTTTGACAGAATGCCAAATATTCTGAGTTTGTCATTATCTAGCAATAATTTTACTTCACTACCACCAGGTATATTACGCCTCAAAAATCTACAGCAATTACAATTGTTTGGAAATAACTTGATCTCAACACCATCATTTTTTTCAATTTTATCTTCATTTACAAATATACAGGTAATTAAATGTTTATTAGAATTGAGAAGTAGAATTCTGAAGGGAACATGAGAGAACAGTGGCTTTGACATATAACAAATGTGAAATAATCCTAAATATTTTAGCTCCCCCCCCCTTTTTTTTTAAACTAATGTAAATATATTTAATATTTTAAGTGTAACGAGAATGTCATTAATTTCCCGTAATGCATTTATATTTCAAATCATATTTATCAAAGAACATTCAAAAAGTTGATTTTAACTAAGTGACTATTAATTTCGTTTTGCATAAAGGAGTAATTTTTCTTGAACTATCATTGGAAATTTATATAATTTGCTTAAAAAACATTTTATTTTAAAATATTTTTGAAAACTTGAATGCCTGAATATACTTATTCACCACATTTCACAATGAGTTCACTGAAGAGCATGTAAATAATACATGACCACTACAGAACATGTAAATATATTGGTACAATATATTATATTTTCTATATATAATAAACATGTAATTGTAATAATGTAGGAATATAATATAGACATAATAAACATCATCCTCTGTCTAGATAATATGCTAAGGGTAAATTACACTTTTTGACAATTTGTAATAACCACTACATAAAAAACCCTGAAAGTGTGCTAGAGCTGAATAGTGAATTAATCTCCTGTCCTGCATCCATGAGATTGAAGACAAAAACATAGAATTTGGTAGTTTACAATGTACAAAACAGATTTTAATAAATTGTCATATTTCAACTTAAAAACAATATGAATGACGATCTTATAACCAGCTTTTACCTTGTGTATCTCTAAAGGGACACAAGTTTTGTAGGAACAGATGAGTTCTTTTGCAGGGTAACAAATTTTGAGGGGAGACATTGTGGACTTGTGGGGAAATGAGTGGGAGAGGTGGTGGATAGGTGGGGGGGGCATAAGGGAATGGGGAGAGGTGGGGGCCAAGTTACGTTTCATAAGTAGTAGCCTTATTCCACAAAAGGACACCCTTTTGAGCACTCTATTACATTTTTGTGGTTTTAGTGTTTTAGATGCCCACACTGTAACATGTGTGGTCAGAAATATACAGAAACCTATGTAAAATTACATTGAGGAAAGAAGACAGAAATAATCTTTCACAATGAAATTAAAGGGACTATTTGATTTTCTCTCATCATTTAGCAGTATTACTAACATAACTTCTATCACATTGCACCAGTGCAATTCTGTAACTCATAGTACAGGGGCTAGCCTTTCGAAGTTGGGTTCTACTAAGAAGCAATTTTTACTTTTAAAATATTTATTTTCAAAGCACACACTTTTATAGTAGGTCCAGCTAATACAACCTAAAGTTTATAAATATAATTTACTAATTTTGATTATCAATAAACAATAATTTATAATAATAATTATATATAATTGAGAGGTAAATTGCGAGGTTAATGTTGACAATTTATTGATTTCAGATTCTGCACTTGTCCAAGACACTCATCACATCACTTTTTTTAGTTGATCCTCTCCTAAACAGTTCTTTACAGTTAACTGGTCTCCATTTGACAGAGTGTCAACTGCCTTCAATTCAAGAAGAAGATATTAAACTATTATCAAAGCAAACGAAGTTGGAAATATTAGATTTATCTAAGAATAAAATAGACTATATTCCCGTAAATTGGAGCGATTTACCTGCAAGTATTAAAATTCTTAACTTGTCTTCTAATTTTTTGACATCAGTTCAATTTATGTTTTTTTCTGATGTTAAACTAAAAGTGATTGATATTTCTAAGAATAAACTTAGAGTTATTGGTAACCTTCTTGAATCTGGAAGAGCAGACTCAGTTAATGTTTCATTCAATAACATAATTGAAGTGTGTGGTGTAAATTATGGAAGAAATATTAATAATTTGAATTTATCACACAATATGGTTGAAATTACAGAACAATCTGTAGCATCTTTAAGTAGTTTACACTCAATTGATTTGGGAGGAAATTTGTTTCACTGTCAAGTTTGTAATATAACAATTTTACAAAAGTGGGTCAGTGGTCAACATAACATGATTAAGGCATTAAATGGTACAGGAGATTTATTTTGTTTCCCTAAACATAGTAATCTTAGAGTAGCAGATGTCAAACAAGAAGAATGTAAAACTATTTTGTATTCGAGAAATCCCGAGTGGGCTCGTGTATTTCAAGTATCCTTGGTACTTTCATTGATTTTCCTCATGGCTGTACTTCTACGAGGATACAAGTTTGAGACTTGCTATTTAATGAGACTCTGGCAAAACAGAACCAACAAGACAAGAAGAATTTCTCAAACTTATGAGTATGATGCTTTCATTTGTTATAGGTATGTAATATTTAATGAATTTTGAATTCACACAATATTAAATTTTCTCTAATAAAGCTTCTCTTTCACAGTAATGCAGATCGTGAATGGGTAATTTATGAACTTATGGAAAAACTTGAAGGAGCTCCACACAATTATAGAATCTGTGATCATGAACGTGATTTTATTCTTGGTTCTTTTATCTCTCAAAACATTGTGCAATCAATGCATCGGAGTAGACACATTTTATTTGTTCTTTCAGAGACCTTCTTCAACAGCCAGGTAGGATACAATTAGAAACCAAAAGCTGACTGACAGAGAAAGAAAAAATAAGTGTATTCTATCATTTAGTATCTCAAATTACTTTTAGAGAACTCAGAAATACTTCCACAACATCAGATCATAAATGTTATATATTACATTGCTAAAATGTTATTTTATTTGTGGTTCCAAAGAAATAAATGTTTAACTTAAAGAATTGGATGAATTTCTGCGCTACTTCTCAACATCAGTAATTTTTGGGAGGATTTAAATATTTCATTACGAAAAGAGAATTAAACATACCATAATGAAGTGTTTCAGTATCTAAATTTCAGTCTTTATCCTTACCTTTTATGTGCAGGATGTGAACTAATATCTTCTACTTTTGTAGTGGTGCTTATGGGAACTAGAAATGGCAAGGCACAGAGAGTTTGAAGGTGGTGGAAGTTCCCCAATATTAATACAGCTCACACCTGTGGATCAGTTACACCTCTCAGACAACATCGAAGTACTTTTGGATTCATGCAAATCTCTTCACTCGCCAAATGAACCTTTCTTTTGGGAAAAGTTGGTGAACATGCTGGGAAAAAGTCTTGCCAATTTTTGTGAAAGGTATTTAATATTAATTAACCTACAAAAATGAATTTGTTTTCCCAACTTGAAAGTAATTGAGTGATTTAATATTGAGAATAATTAAGAGTAGTATTTGTGGATATCAGTAGGCAATCAGCCACAGAGAACTGATTTACAGCTTTCTGAGAATACAATTTTTGATAATATGAAATTGAAGCCAGAACTGTTAAAAACTGTTTCAACAGTGAGAGAAAAGTCAAAACTATTATTTCTCTTGCAGTATATTATTCAAACTATAAACAGATGTAATGTTTTTTGTATTTTAAAATATCTTATTTTCATGGAACTTATTACACTGAGAATACACTTCAAGAAGTGGCTCTTTCTATAATCATTAAGTGTGTGAGGTATTAGGTGCTAAAAGTTAGGTATTATCTTAGTTTGGATGCCTAAGACAGAAATGTGATTTTTTTCATCATATAAGCATAAGGTAATTTTCTTTTTTAAAATGAGAAATAAATGGTATTAATCTTTAATGGAATATTAGTTTTTTAAAGCTTTGCTCATATTGCATATAAGACCACTAACAACACTTTTAGATAACACAGATGCAATAAAAGAATTCAATAAAATATTTGCAGCTATCTTATATCTAAAATTTGTTTTTATTCATTTTCAGGACTGACTCAGAAACAAGAGTGTAAACATTTTCTAAGTAAATTTCAGGAGAGAAAGAGATTAAAATAATACTATCTATTATTGTTATGCTTCACCAAAAGAAATAACTGCAAAACACTGACATGGAAATATATTTATTTGTATGTCAATAAACTGATTCAAAGAGTATAAATATTTTTCTTTTATTTTATTGAGATTTGGGGGCAGATTTAGTAACATAGGAGACCAAATTTTGAAGAAATTTTTCACTTGAACACATCTTAAATACAACACTTGGATTGTAAAAGCTGTAATATAAATGACACAAAATATCCATCAGTTTCTGAATGCACAAATATCACATTTGTATTTCCTAAGTTGTCTTTTCATACTTCAGACTAATCTGATAGAGAGCTTACAATGTGTCCAGCATTTCACAATTTAATGAAAATAGTTATTGATCATTCTGAAACAAGAACTGAGAGTAAAACTAAATTTGTGACGTGGACTTACTATGATACATTTTCACTACTGTGATTCGAAAATATAAAGTAGGTTCTATAGAAGAGACCGAATCATTTATTTTAAAAATAGATTCACAATGTTTTAAACTAATGGATCCACGGAATGGCTCTGCACGCTGACACAAAGGAGAGCATCAGCATCATAAATTATTATTATTGTTATTATTATTATGATATGAGGTACAGATTGAAAAGCCCAATGCATTTGCATCAAATTCAATACAAAACAAATTTTAGTTTTATTTCATAAAAGTAATTTGTAATTTTCAAACATAATTTTAATAAATAAAATTGTCTCTTAAATTATCCATCATAATAGTTTTCAGAACTGGAACTGCAAGTTTAAAAGTCAGATATTAAATCACTATTTATGCTGTAATGTACTTATAAAATAATACGATACTTACACATATTTTAAGAAAATGATGTACACCATCTGTCACATGTATCTTTGCAATATTTTGTTTGAGATTCCATTGCGACAAATGCCAGTCTTTATGTTATTTCATGTATATTTATTACATTTATAATATCAGTCCAAAAGTAAAAACTTGAAAGAAGAGTCTAAATTTACTAAATTCCTTAGAAACTGCACTACTAGACAAAATATAATTAGGAAATGCCCAAAAATGAGAAAGGTAATTGACAAAATTAAAGGAAATGCTTGCTCACAAGAAGACAAATGAGACTTTGAATAGCACCTATAAAATAAAAAAAGTCAGTACCTCAAAAAGAGATTTATAAAAATTTCACTCCCACAACTGCAAACCCACCAGGTGCTAAAATTGTGTTCAATACAGCTCCACTTTAGTATTATGCATTAACATTGTTCTTGAATAACTGGGATAATAGTGTCAATCTTATAACTAGTTTATATACATTTCTGTTTATAACTACATATTATGTAATAAATAAATTATGCCAAACTCATAAAATGACATTAATAAAATAAGGGACCAACACAAGCTAGTGTCCAATGGAATTAAAGATATAATTGATTTAACATGTTTATCAATTATGAACTTTAATTTACAAACATGTCACAACATTGGGGACACCCTGGCCCTTGTAAAAAGAGGAATGTTAAATAATAACTAGCCTCCTATGAACAGTTATTACCATTCATTAACAAGGAAAGGGATGGTATGATAAACTATGTCAGGAAATGAAACCATTTTTCAAATTCTCCTAATTCTTGTTGAGCAAAGCAATGTGCTCATTGGTCTACACCTGACAACAGAAACTCTCAAATATAGTAATTACATTTCTCAAAAGTGCAGAGCTGTCGCACAACAACAAATATTTTCACCATACATTATTTTTCAATTCATCCCGAGCACTCAAAATGATGATGCAACCCCATGTAATTTAGTTTTAGATAAATGATGTATGCACACAAAAATAATTATTACAGTAAAGTCCAGATGTGAATATGGACTCTTCTACATTTTGTTTATTCCTCAAAGGTGACAACACTTTATATAATACTGGTTATTTATTTCAGACATCTTTCTAAATTGGTCAGTTGGTGTCAACAACTACCTTCTTTGATTGAGGCGGAATTTGCACTGCAATGACTGCTTCGCCTCCTGTAAGTTAGGAGTCCAGCAGATGGCACATTCGCCTGATTATTTTTCCAGATCAGGAATTACTTGACACTATTAGAAAAAGAAAGAAAACAAAGGGAAATATTTGATAATTTCACCATTTGTACACACAGCAATGACATCGAGAACATCACAGATATTTGAGACCCCAAAGAATTATTTATACATTTAAACTGAAGGAGGCTCCAATAATGCACTTATTAACACACTGTCATTTGTTGACACACCTGTAGTGTCATGTATTAACACACTTCGCAGTCAAAATGTTATATAGTTTTAGATCATCTACCACTGCTATTGAATGATATCTAGCCAGAATTGAATGGCACACAGTAAAAGCCTTTAACAACAATACAATATAACTATCTGTATTAAAATAAAATATGGTATGAAATGGAATAAATACTGGACAGAAGAACTCGTGAACAAGGTTGCAATTATTAGAAACAACTGCTCCTAACATTTCTTAGGCAACTCTGCAAATGAGTTTAAGGCAGCAAGCAACATTTTTACTCTTGTTGTTTCCAACAGTTAATCAATACAAAACATTTAGAGATAATTTCTAGAGGAGTTACTAAAAATCTGCACAAATGTTAACAACTAAAGGCACATAAAATGCAGGTAGTGAAAAAAATATTTTTTTGAAATACGTTACTCAGTAAAAATTAATAACTAATTTCATTACAGCAGTTGCGATTAGGAATGTTGAACACTTGTAAAAGTAGGAAGACAATTTAAATTTTCACATACTAACACAAAATATTTAAAGAATGGAATTAATAATGGAATGAAGAAAACTCTGTTACACAATTCCAAAAAGCATTAAATTTGTTCAAGTGATCTATTCACACATCTGAATGAAATGCTCGTCTTTTAGACCAACATCGGTATCAATTTGAAAGAAAACACAAGAATGCTTGCAGCTAACTTCCTCATTAATTAGAACAATTTTTACCTTGAAAACTTATGTTCCTCCAAAACAAAATCAGCACTCTGAAGTCTACAGAGTGTTTCACTTTAACAAGGTGAAAGTGTATGAAAACAAATGAACCTTAATATGCTGAAGAACTTACAGAAAACTAAAGATACCATATGACCAGAAACTATGTAATACTTTTATAGCTGCAGAAAAGTTCAATTCAAATGAGGAATGTTTTGTCAATTATTTTGAACAAATGTAAGTTCCACAGTTTGTGCAGATTTTTATTTGCAACTTTCATTATCAATCAATTTAAAAAATTAAAATTGCACAGGCTCTTGCACACAGGGTTGCAACATGGCCATATACAAATCTCACACAACCCTATGTGATGTATTTGTAACTTCTTCTTTATGAAAATTGATGTTTCGTCTTCATAAATCATAAAAACAAAATGGTTCATTTGTCCAAATCTTTTTCCTTTCATTTATCAGGAGAGTCTGGAAAAGTTACAAGGATTGCCAGTCCTGCCACAAGAAGGCTCAAAAAGAGGGCAAATGTACTCCAGTTGTGTTGAACTTTAGAATTTCTCTGGTTGAACGGTGTGTTCCACTGTTCAGAATGCTTTGAGCAACGAAATTCTTCTTGAGGAACCTCTTCTCATAATATTTGAGAGCTTGAACCCCAAACTCGAGCTAGGTTTGGTCGAGACAACCTTTTGCCAATTGTTTGCACTTGAAATCCCAATTTAATAAGTTCAGCATGGTCAAGAATCTTGCGACCATCAAATATATATGCAGGCTTTACCATTCCCTCATAAATTTTCCTGTAATCTAGAGTCTGAAACAGGGAAGCATTGTTAAGAAAAGGCATTGCATCTTTCTAATAAAGTTTGGTTTCTAATTATTTATTGTGTGATGACATTAAAATTTAATGAATTATTTTTGTTATTGAAAAATTTATAATTAAAAGAAATGTAACTATTTAAAAAATTTGATGTGATACAAGAAAAATTCTAGAGCAAATTAACTTATAAGGAATTATGATTAACTAGAAAAGCCTTTGTTTAAGTAAGACAAAATTCAAAATCCAGCCTTTATAACTGAATTAATTGTTCTAAAATAATAATTTAGAAATGAACAAGCCCAAATCTACAATCTACACTAATTTTTAAAACTGATCACAAAACCAGCTGTGTGTGAAATTTTTTTAACCTAATGAAAAGACTAAACACATACTTTTTCCATTTCTGTATAGACAACAACAAACACATTAACTATCATTACAAAACATTCAGAAAAAAAATTATTAATTTTACCTTAAATTCATCCCACTCTGTACACAGAACAATCGCATGAGTTCCTTGTGTGGCTGCGTACGGATCTTTATGAATAGTGATAGCACTCTTAACTCTCTCAGGTTCTTCTGTTACACTTGGGTGAGTAAGATCTTCAATTATTTGAGACTTTTCCACCTATAAAAATATGCACAAACAATTAAAACTATTAAAAGAGAAAAATATTCTAATTTAAAAAACATATTCTGTGCATTAAAAACCTTTGGGTCGTAAATGTGAAGCTGAGCTCCTTCATCTAGAAGAGTGGTTGCAACAGAAATGGCTGCAGATTCCCGAGTGTCCCCAGTATCCTTCTTGAAAGCAAATCCTAGCATAGCTATTTGCTTGTCAGTCACTGTATTGAAAAGGGATTCAATAACCTTAGCTGAAAACCGTGATTTCTGGTACTCATTCATTGTTATGACTTGTTGCCAATAAGCAGCCACTTCAGGCAAATTTAAACATTCACATATGTACACCAGGTTGAGAATATCCTTTTGGAAACAGCTTCCACCAAACCCTGAAAAATTGTATTAGGCAGAACATTACATTTTTTTATACAATTATAATTATTCAGCATCTCCTCCAAGCAACTTACCTACTGAAGCTTGTAAAAACCCAGGACCAATGCGAGAATCTAATCCCACAGCTCGGGCTACTTCTGAAATATCAGCTCCAGTTGATTCACAGACAGCAGACAAGGAATTGATGCTAGAGATGCGTTGAGCCAAGAATGCATTTGCTGCCTTTAACAAGAAAACCCAAATTTAAAAAATCTCTCATTAGAAAAGGAAAAGTGCTCAATATCCATTTATAAATGAAACGAACAAAACTTAAAAGACAAGATGAAGAATAGAGAGAGTTTTAGATTCAAAAGACTGAAAAATAGGAATTAGGATCTTAGATTGAAGAAAAGGAATATGTTATTTTAAACAAGAAAGCTTATAAGTAATACTTAATAGAGGCAAGAAAACAGGAGGACTCAGACTTGCTTTCGAAGGGTTAAGAATCTGAAACAACGAAGTGAGCAGGGATCTAAAAATTAGAGGAAGAATGGATAGAATGTTATACAACATTATGAAATAATGGTAATCACAAAACAAACAGAAACAGAAACAAGTCCTTGGGTAGAAAAATACAGTTTGTGACTGTGATTATTCATGTGGAATTACACATAACATTAAATATGGAATAAAAAAAATTATGTCAACAAATTATATTAAGGGCACAGATTCAAGTATACACGTTGATGTTTTGTTGATCATGAACATTTAAGAAAACATTATAAAAAGAAAAAACTCATAAAACTATAGTTCGAGGAGGAGGAGTTTTGCAGAGATGAATTAATGAAACGCTTAACGAGAAGGCAAATGTTTGACATATCAGGTGGTACACATAAGAAAACAAATCTGATTGTGGTTTTGCAAGCATCATTTGACCTACATAAGTTTTGAGTGAAAAAGAACAATGGATAAGTAGCAATGGTCAAGATCACACTATGCAACACCAAATAAAAATTAAGTATTAATAGAAAATTTAATGAGTTAATGGAAGTACGGTCTAGAGTTCCTGTAGGGGAACTTCAGTGCAAATGCATATGCTTTAGGTAAATCCATCCCTGTTCTTTTTGAGGTGACTAAATTTTATTTTCCAAGCCTCCCAAAACCCACTTACAAGCTTTGATAGCTCAGAAGACCATGTATTTGTGGTGAGAATGCGCTCGCGAGGAATCCAGTGTTCATAAACCCAACAAAGTTCTTCTACTGCAGCATGACCTTCTTCAGTGTCTTCACCACCAATAAGAACTCTGTCTGCGTTCAGGAGGTCATTTATAGCAGTTCCCTCAGCTAAAAATTCTGGATTTGACAATATCTACAAAGAATAATTTACGAGATAAGAATGAAATAACAAAGTCCAATTCATGTATAATTGTTTTTCCAGTTATTATGCAGATACATGTACAAAAGTTTACACTATAAAAAAATATATCAGCAACCCTGAAAGATGATTGTTATGTACCTGATATGACACTCCAGGTCTATTATTGGCACGAAGAATATTTAAAATGCTTTCTGCTGCTCTCACTGGAACTGTACTTTTCTCCACAACTATTTTGTTCCCTGTTGCTACTTCTGCAATCATTCGAGCAGCACTTTCCACATACTTCAAATCAGCAGCTCGCCCCTGGGAAGTGGTAGCAGTAATTTCAGCATATATTACTCCTTATCCTAAAGGAAAGGAATCAGGCTTGTAAGAAATGTGTCTGACCTTTCCATTTCCGAATGTTTTAGTGGGTGTATTCACAGAAATAAAGATGAGATCAGCTTCTCTAATGGCTGTGGCTATATCTGTAGAAAAGAAAAGGTTGCGGCCACGGCACTGTTTAACCACATCATCCAATCCAGGCTGCAACAAAAATTACAAGAGCTTTTAATGATATTTCTGTGCAATTCTAAATCCAATGTCTTTACTGGGCCATTGTTATATATACTGTATGATCTAATATTTATATTACCAGCAGGAAAATAATACATTCATTAAATTCATTGTGATTTCTGTTAGTAAACAAACTTTTGCCCTTAACAAATGTTTTATGCGACAAACTATCAGCACTATTGGTGATGTATATATTTCACCTTGACATTTATCACGTGAGAAAATGATCATTACTCATTTCAGAGCTATATATAGCAAGGAAGCTGTTTCGTGATTACACTCTCGCCCTGATAAAACAAGTATGACAGTCAATAAGTCTTCCTTCCGGGAAATTTTGGATAAGTTAAGGGACCGACCCATGGAGATTGTATTTGTTGTCATTCCTGAGTGCATATATTGTTCACACACATGATTTCTGCACATTTTTTGTGTGAACAGTTTTAAAGTTTGTAAAAACTGTCATGAGGTACGGGTTCTGCAACATAACACAAGTACTAACCTCGTATATCGGAAGCTTCTCCGAGTTCCACTGGGCGATTCTGTCCTTACTTTTGTCCACCACGGTCACGACAATATCGGGGCACTTAAGAGCTATTATACTGCATGTGGGTCCACCCACATACCCAGCTCCAATACAGCATATCTTCTTGATCACCATCTTCCTGTAACAAACTTAAGTTAGCCTTGTCACTCGCGCGTATCTGGCTAATTCGGTCAATCGAGCTGGACATATACCCAAACTTACGTTTCTTGTGTAAACGAACGTTCAAATAGATTATTACCAATTTAACCACTGTGTTCTCCCGCCGGATTCAGTGAACGATGGACTTTTAGGGGATAACGGGTTCTCCTCTCAGGCACACCAGCCGTCACTCCACTGTGTGAATGAACCTCCGAATACGAGCCTCTGCCCCGCTGTGCAGCCGTGCCGATGTAGCTCGGAGCACATCGGCCACTGCCGCGCTCAGCAGAGGAGCTTCGGAGAAACGATCAATTCACGTGACATCATTTGTGTACGTGTCACAGCGTATGAGAAGACGAGGCTGATCAAGATCGCCAACAGCTGCGAATGACCAGTGTATTAAAATCCTTTAAAGTAAAATTTATACAAGAACTGTATAAATATTTTAAACATCTGTGTTATTTGTATGTAAAGTTACTGCAATTTTCGTAATCCATGAGCCAGCCGTATTCTTAAAAATACAGTTGTATAGGTTTCAATAGTTGGCATAAATAGCGGGTTGTTTAAACGACTGAAATGCATGCACATGAATGAAAAAGTGCGCACCTTACACATTATTCGCATGTTACACATGTTGTCATTGCGTCATGTAACTAGAATTAAATTTAAGTTCTCCTGGCGCTCTGAAATCTGTGAAATAAGCTCAACAATGTTGATGTGTGATAGAATCACAGAAAATGTGCACAGTCGCCGACGTCAGATTGAAAATATTTTACCCACACCAACGTATTTGGATTTAATGTTAGATGTGCTGGAACCAAGATATTTTGCACACCTTTCAATGATTACCTCTTAATAAGGCTAAAAAGCAAAGATAATCTGCAAAATTTTATTTTTTTCGCCTTTAATCTGTTGGATGCACCCATAAGAAGGGAAATTACGTATCCAGCAATAGTACAGTTTCCGAGTTTTGTGGCGTCGATGTTCGAATCGTTCAAAATAATAATTTTTCCGTACCGTATTACATATAGACGGGATGAGGTGAGAGCCGACCCTCACATTTACGCCAATTAGTCCCACCACCATTAGGGGCAAAGGTAGTGTATTGTGGGATGTTATAGATGGAGAATTTTATGCCGGCCTCCAAGGTATTGTTATTATTTTGTGAATCATCAACCTAAAGATTTCGTGTACCACACATCTTAAGTTTGGGCGAACAATCAACCATATGAACATATTAAAAAACATTTTAAAATCGTTGGTAATACTGGTAATTTCTGGTAAAGAAAGAAAGAAAGAAAGAAAGAAAGAAAGA